CATGTTGTCGAAAATGGCAGTATTCATTTTTTCTTACGGCTGAGTAACATTCTATTGTATATATGTACCACATCTTCTTTATCCAATCACCTATTGATTGTTTCCGTGTCTTGGCCACCGTGAATACTACTGCAATGAGCATCTTTACAGATAAATGTTTTCAAATCTAGAGGCAGATACTCAGAAGAGGGATTGCTGGGTCATGTGGTAATTCTACTTTTTTTTTTTTTTTTTTTTTTGAGGAAACTTCATACTGTTTTCCATAGTGGCTATACCAATTTACATTCCCACCTGCAGTGTATTAGGGGTCCTTTTTCCCACAACCTCTCCAACACTCATTATTACTTGTCTTCTTGATGATAGCCACTCTAACAGGTGTGAGGTAATATCTCATGGTGGTTTGGATTTGCATTTTCCTAATAGCTAGTGACATTGAGCATCTCTTCATATGTCTGTGGGCTGTTTGTATGTCTTCTTGAGAGATGTCATTAAGGTCCTCTACCCATTTTTAAATTGGATTGTTTGGGTTTTTTGTTGGATATTAGCCCCTTATGGGAGGTGTTGTGTGGAAGTATCTTCTCCCATTCATTTGATTGCCTTTTTGTTTTGTCGATGGTTTCTTTTGCTGTGCAGAAGCTTTTTAGTTTGATATAGTTCCATTTATTTATTTTTGCTTTTATTTACTTTGCTTTTGAGGTCAAATTCAGTCACCCTTATATTAATTAAACATTTTGTTCTCCATGTGGTTGAATCAATCAGTTGATTTGCAAGGAAAAGAAAATAAAAATACTTTTTTAAGTATCTCCAGAATTTCTAATTTGTATAATTTAAGGACTAATGAATGTTGTTTTGTTTTCACATATTTCATTCACATTTGTTCCTTTGGCTTAAATAACTTCTCTTTCTTGAATTTTTTATTTGTGCCAATTTGAATACATTTCAGAAAATATGCACCTCTTGATAAATTGTAGTGTGTCAGTGATAAAAACTGGTTTACTGTGCTAAATTTCACCAATTTTCTCCAGCCAGGTATGCCTCTTTGAATGGAATCATTTTTCTTTAAATGAGATAACCTACTTGAAAATCTGTATTTCTTGGCAGGTTGGTCGTAATCTGGACTCTCTGCCTTACAGGCCTCATCTTCCACTACTCTCCTACATGTACTTTACACTTTAGCTATGTCAAACTACTTGCTATTTTTAGTACCGTATATATTTTGACATCTCTGCCTTTAACCTCTTTTGTCAGGTAAACTAACCATGTCATCAGGACTGTTTAACTCTCATTTTCTCTAGAAAGGCTTCCTTCAAACCTTTCTCAGCTACCTGATATAATTAAATGACCCTTTTTCTGTACCACTAATGAACACAATGTATATCTCTGTTACTGTGCTTAATACACCATATTGTAATTTTCTGTTTGCTTTCCGACTTCGCCCTAATATTCTTTAGTTGTTAAGGGGCCGAGTGGCAGAATAGGAGGTTGGAGAGATTTATGCAGGAGCCAGATCATGAAGGACCTTACCATAGGCCAGAGTATGTATACAGTTCATAAATAAATATACATTTATGGGGTTGCTAATTTTTTTTTTTTTTTTTTTGCTGTCAGAGTTGGAGACTAATCCTGTAGATATTATCCTGCCTTGTAACCAGAGTGATATATTTTAGAATGCAAAATCAATCATGTTAATCCCTGTATGTACGTATGTGTGTGTATGTGTGTGTGTGTGTGTGTGTGGTTGGTCGTAATCTGGACTCTCTGCCTTACAGGCCTCATCTTCCACTACTCTCCTACATGTACTTTACACTTTAGCTACACACAATCTAGTCGTCCCTTGCTATCCATGCGGGATTGGTTCCAGGAGTCCCCTCAGATACTAAAATTTGAGGATGCTTCAGTCTCTTATATAATGTGTCATCAATATTTGAATATAACCTACGCACATTGTCCTATATACTTAAAGTCATCTCTAGATTGCCGCATACCTCGGAAATATTGAGGGTTTGGTTCCAGACCACTGCACTAAAGCTAATATTGCAATAAAGCAAGTCACATGAATTTTTTGGTTTCTCAATGCATCATATGAAAATTATGTTTATACTGTACTGTGTAAACATACAGTTTATTCTGTATGTTTATACTGTAGTCAATTAAGTGTGCAATAACATGTCTGAAAAAAACAATGTACACGACTTATTTTAAAATACTTTATTGCTAAAAAAAAAAAAAAAAGCTGACCATCATCTGAGCCTTCAGTAAGTTGTAATCTTTGCTGGTGGAGAGTCTTACCTTCAATTTATAGAAAATGCAATATCTGTGAAGGGCAGTCAAGTGAAGTACAATAAAATGGGGCATGTCTGTACGTGAATGTTTACAGCAGCATTATTCATAATAGCCAAAATGTAGAAAAAAACCTAAAAGTCTGTCTTGGTCAGCTGAAGCTGCCATAACAAAACATCATAGACTGGGTGGCTTGAACAACATACATTCATTTCTCACTGCTCTAGAGGCTAGGAAGTCTAAGATTAAGGTGCTGGTCTATTTGGTTCCTGGTGGGAGCCCTCTTTTTGGCTTGCAGATGTCCACCTTCTCCCTGTGTCATCACATGGCCTATTTTTGTTGCATATAGGCAGAGAGAGACAGTGAGGTCCTGTTTCTTCCACTTCTTATAAGGACACTAATCCCATCATGAAAGCCCCACCTTCGTGACCTCATCTAAACCTAATTACCCAAAGGCCCCACCCCACCAAATACTACCACATTGGGGATTAGGGCTTCAACCTATAAATTTGGGGAGTGCAAACATGTAATGTGTAATAATGTCCATCAACTGATGAATGGATAAATAAAATGTAGTAGGTCATACAATGGAATATTCATCCATAAAAGGAATGTTATTGATACATGCTATAACATGAGTAAACTTTGAAAATATTATGCTGAGTGAAAGCAAACAGACAGAAAGACTACATATTTTATGATTCTATTTATATGAAAAGTCCAGAACAGGTAAATCTATCAAGATAGAAAATAGATTAATGGTTGTCGAGGGCTGAGGAAGGGGGAAGTTTGAGGAGAAATAGGGAGTGACTGCTAATAGGTGCTTGCAGAGTTTCTCTCTGAGGTGATGAAAATGTTCTAAAATTAGATAATGACGATGATTGTACAACTTTATGAACATATTAAAAACAATTATGCACTTTAAATAAATTAATTTTATAATATGTGAATTATATCTATAAAGCTGATAAACTTGAATAAATATTGGTGGTTTGCTTAATGGGGCAAAATATAAAATATTGTGTGGAGAAGGTGATGGCTGTTCTATTACATTTTTTGTGTTCTAAATGGGTTGTTGAAAAGAAATAAATTATAGAGATCTCTTTAAAAATCAGACTTTTAATACTGTATAAATAAAAGTACCAAGAGAACGTTTGGAAAAGTTTGGATAAAAACGTTTCTTAAGTGAGGCATGATTAAGTGGCCAGTCTCCCTTTCAGGATGAATAGTCATCTCATAGTATATTGTGTGACTTCATAGTATATTGTGTGACTTTAAATACCTCACAGAGTTTGTTCCCCTTTTCATTAACTTATCTACTTTCGTACTTGCTAATTTCTCCTTTGGAAAAAAAAGACATCAACCATCCTGCTTTCTCATTTTTTAGTAAAATAAGTGCAATAACTTTACTTCTCTCATCTTATTTTGAGCAGTAGAAAATAATGCGATGATATATACAGTGATTTTTTTTTTTTAAAGCAAGAGTAACAGAGTTTGAAATTTTTCTCAAGTGGCTTCATACAGATTATTTGGTGACACCTCGTTCACCGTGTTTGTTGGGCTAACTCCTATACATCCTTAAGGCTAACTCCTCTGGCATCAGTCTTGCATTCTCTAACTTCTTTCATAAATGCCCTTCTTCTGTGCTCTCATGGTACTCTATACATATCTCTATATACTGGCATCTTCTGTTTATCTGCCTGTGCCCTCCATTAGCCTGTATGCTTTATTAAGCCCAATGACTAAATCTTATCCTTTGTACCTTAGCATCTGTAACTGACTTTGGCAAATAGAAAGTGCTCAGTAAATGGGTATTTAACCAAACTTAATGAATCACAGTAGCTCAGTTATCAGATTTATTACTTGGTTAGTTGATTTTTTTAAAAAGTCAAAGCTTATCATCAGTAAAATATATATCAGTAAAAGGTTTATTTTTGTGAAAACATATAGCCATATAATTTTTGACAATTCGATATAGAGCATGACTTTTGAATATGGGATTCTAATTATAGTTCTATTTAGTCTTTCTTGGATTAAAAACAAACAAAAATTTAAAAACCCTAAAATGGAAGCAGTTTATTTAAAATAGAGGCACATAGGAAGAACTTTGAGGCACAGATATAGAATCTTTAGATTTTTACTATTTTTCCTGATCTGTAACATATTTTACCCACACCTAATTCAATAGCTATTTTTATTAGCAACTCAATTTTGTTAAGTCTGTTTTAAGCATTCAAAATAGTTTTTGTAGAAACAGCAGCTTTCTTTTTGCAGTTGCATTTCTGACAACTAAATACAGTGACATTAACAGGTTTGGGAACAAACATAATTCACTGGCTCTTAGTAAGCATATAGTTCACCTCTTTGGAGCAGAAGTGCAAGGAAGTACTGAATGATTGCTAACCAGCTATGAGCCTTAAAGCTTACCCTGAGCATCAGGTAGTGTATTTTATAGAATGAATGGAGAATATTGATTAATCTAGTAAATCACTTAATGGAGGGAATTTAAGGGAATTTACATTGTTTCTTCTATACCGAAATTTCATTAATTATAGAGCTTATGCAAAGTCTTATATCCTGCCACAAGATTTTGTAAACTTTGTTCTTCTTAAAAACTCAGTGCTCTGAAATGTCTTATTGTCTTCTCAAGTCACTCTGGCTACTTTCAAATAATTTTATGCTAATCGTTTTTTTTGTTTGTTTCTTTGTTTTAATTTCAGTGGTAGGAATGGGATCCTGGTGCTTCCACATGACTCTGAAATATGAAATGCAGGTCAGTAATGACAAAATTGACTAAATGTCTATTTCTTCTAATTCAGAGATACTTCATATTTGAGAAAAGGGCACATTCCTAGAGGATGGTATCAAGACAAGAGACTGAAGGAAAAAAACAGATGGGATTTGTAGTCTGGACTTTTTACTTTAGGCCGTAGGATCCAGATTGACTAAGTGAAGTAAAGAGGCAAGCAAATAAGTTATCCATAGAGAAAACAAATGAGAGCATTATAGCTTTTTGACCATCTCTATGCAGGCGTGTACAATTTTAAAGCAGGATTAAAGAGTAGAGTCCCATGGAGACATTTTAAAAAGGCATAATCAGTTCACCAAAATAAATATATTCTTATTCTTAGATGTCTGCATTCCCTCATGTCTCTCTCTTATGACGTTTATTTGAATGATCTGGTCCCTCCAGCTCATAAAATTTTAAAGGTATGCAAGGATTTTTATTTACTGTCCTTGCTCCAAGGAGACCGTATATCTAGTCCTCAAATTGTTTTTTTATTATTTATTGTTATTTATGCCTACAGCACCTGGTCTTCCTAGGTGGTCTCCCATCCAAGTACTAACCAGGCTCGACCCTGCTTAGCTTCTGAGATCAGACATCAGCCTTGTTCAGGGTGGCATGGCCGTAGACCATGGACTGTGGCTACACTGGGGCACGAACTCAGGACCTTCTGCATGTAAAGCAGACGTGCTAACCTCTACGCTGTGGAACTACATCCTAGTCCTCAATTTTTTTACCTTTTTTTTCCCATCACAACCCAAAAACTTCTAGAACAGTACTGTCCAATAGGAATATAATGTGAGCTATGTATGTAATTAAATTTTTTTCTAGTAATCACATTAAAAAGCTGCATTAAAAAAATAGGTGAAATTAATTTTATTTAACTCAGTATATCCAAAGTATTACTTTAACAAGTAATCAATATAAAAATTTATTAATGAAATGTTTCACATCCTGAAATCAGTTGTATATTTCACACTTTGCTTGCAGTATATCTCAGTGTAGATTAGGTTTATTTCAAGTTCTTAGTAGCCACTTAGGCTAAGGCTACTGTATTGGACAGTGCTATTCTGGAAGGATCTGTGTATATAACATTATGTGAATTATTAATTACAGCTATATTAAATGTATAATAATTCTTAGAATTGATTCTAATATTCAGCACACATTTATGATAAGATGTCATGTGTGCTGTACATGCCATGCTTCATTTGGAGAATATGCAAATAATAACACTGGTCTGACCTAATCGAGCGTAGAACACAATTATACTTTCTGGCTGGGAGAACACACCTATAAACAATGATATAATATGAAAATTATTATTTTTATTTTATTGAATTACAGTTGACATTCAGTATTATTTTATGTTAGTTTCAGATGTACAGCATAGTGGTTAGACATTTATATAATTTATGAAATGATTCCCCCAGTTAGTCTAGTACCCACCTGGTACTATACATAGTTATTACTGAAAATTATTTTTAAAGAAGTAAAAGTAATCTATGGCAACACAGTGGAGCTTGCAAGAATCTGTGTAAGTTAAAGAACATTTAAACAGACTCTGAAAGAATTAGTTGAAACTTTTTATATAGTGAAAAGATGAAATGACATACCAGAGTTACACTATGACATAAACAGAAGCAAGGAGTCATTATAATGTGTGGTGTATCTGACAACAGTGATGAATCTAGAACTTAAAGTGTGTTTGAAGAAATGATGAGAATGGCAGGAATGATATTCAAAATATTTAACAACTGTATGGCAAGAGTACTAACAACATGGTGGTACCAGTGAGCAACGGCTGAGTAATAATACTGAAATTAAGGCTTTGCATTTTATCTTACTAAAAATTAATTGGAATTTGTCCAGCTCTAGCAATTATCAAGTGTTTTTATATATAGTATCTTAGATACTTATGACTTACATTTTACAAATTCCAGTTTTAGAGCCTAAAAGACTAATTGATTTGACCAAAATCATGCACAGTTTTAAATGGTATATCTCATATTTATTCTTACATACTACATATATACATATTTCTATACATACACACACACACACGCGTACATTCTCTAGCTCTCTGTCCATGGGAGGACCTGGGAGCAGGGAACCCCAATACCAAAGAGCACACCTATTATTCAGATCTGGTTTCTAAAACTTATTCTTCAGTAAAAGGAACTAAGGCTGATGTCAAGTGCTGGGGCAGAAAAAGGACAATATGATAGGAACATGTCAAAAGGATACTGAAGCCAACTTGAAGGGATTCCCAGTGGCCAATTTTGGGACAAGTTGAGCATCAAAATAAGTAATGATAGTAACAGATAATTACAGTTATCAAATCCATTGATTATATAACCCATTGAATAAAATGAGAAATTGTGAGTCCATACTGAAATAATAGATGATATAATAAGTGAAACAATAAGTGATTATAAATAAATGAATAAATTAAAAGTTTGATATGCAAGTTACATAGTTTCCAACTACCTCACTGCAAAATAATTATAAAGGGAAAAAGAGTAACTTTATAGTGGAGGAAACTAGCAGACATCACCTTAATCAAGCAATCAGAATGAGTATCTTCATTAATGAAGCAAATCAAAATTGTACGCCACCTAATAGGATACAGTGGCAAGAACACAGCGTCACTTCTCTGATATTCTTGTCAAAGATGTATAATGTGAATCTATTTCTATGGAAACAGGCAAAATCAGATTGAGTGACATTCTATGAAACAACTGGCATGTAATGAGATTAAAATTTTAGGAAAAAGCAACTGAATACAATATGTGATTCTGTACTGGATTGTGTGTGCATGTGCTTTATATTTATATTATTGAGGCAGTTAGAATGGGGCCTGAGGATTATTACATGATAGTAATAAATCAATGTTAACTTCCTGATTTTGTTGGCAGTATTATGGATTTATAGGTGAATTTTTTTTTAAAGTTATAATTTACATGCCATAAATTTCACCCTTTTAAAGTATACTAGTTCTTTTAAGTATACTTACAAAATTGTGGAACCATCATCATTATCTAATTACAGAACATTTTCATCACACCAAAAAGAAACCCTATGCCAGTTAGTATTCACTCCCTGTTACTCCCTTCACCTAGCCCCTGGCAACCACTAATCTACTCTTTGTGTCTATGGACTTGCCTGTTCTGGACATTTCATAGCAGTGGGTCATACAATATGTGGCCTTCAGGTCTGGTTTCTTTTATTTAGGCCAAATAATATTCTTTTGTATGGATATACCACATTTTGTTTACCCATTTATCAATTAACAGACACTTTGGTTATTTCTACTTTTTGGCTTTTATGCATAATTCAGCTATGAATATTCATGTACACGTTTTTGTAGATGTTTTCAATTCTCTTGGGTATCTATTTAGCAGTAGAATTGCTAAATCATGTGATGAGTCTGTGCTTAACCATTTATGGAGCTGCCAGACTGTTTTTCAGAGTGTCTGTACTGTTTTATATTTCCACCAGCGATTTTTCCATATGCATGCCAATACTTGTTATTCTGTCCTTTTGGTTACATTCATCCTAGTGGGTGTGAAGTGGTATCTCATTGTGGTTTTGATTTGCATTTCCCTAATGATTAATGATGTCGAGCCTTTTTTTTTTACGTGATTATTGGCCATTTGTATATTTTCTCAGAAGAAACAGCTGTCCAGATCCTTTGCCCATTTTTTGATTGGATCATTTGCCTTTTATCATTGAGTTGCAAGGGTTCTTTATATATTTGATACCTTATCAAATATATAGTTTATGAATATTTTCTTCCATTCGATGGGTTGTTTTTTCACTATTGTAATAGCATCCTTTGAACAAAAAAGCTTTCAGTTTTGCTGAAGTCAATTTCATCTATGTATCTGTGCCAGACATGAAGAAACAACTGGATGAATGTGCTGGCTGAGACAAGATGGCAGGAAATCAGGCATCCAAGGGAGGGAGGGGTTAGGCTTCTCTACTGTGCGCTCATCAAATCTTGACTGGAATAACTGCATTCAGTCTGAGGACTAATCTGGCATGTGTTCAAATGAGAGATACCAGAATGATGAAAGAACTAAAAATCTAGCCATGATGCTGAGGGGAAGGAACTGGAAGACAGTCTTATGCTGCTTAATAATGGGAATATATTCTGAGAAATGTAATTAGACAGTTCCATTGGTTGAACATCATAAAGTGTACTTACACAAACCTAGATGGTATAACCTGCTACTATAATTGTACATGCTATACTTTTATACGACTGGCAGCACAGTAGGTTTGTTTACACGAGCATCACCACAAACACGTGAGTAATGTGTGCACTAAAACATTATGATAGTGACGGTGGCACAAGGCAATAGGAATCTTTCAGCTCCATTATCTTATGGGACCACCATCCTTTATACCATCCATGGTTGACCGAAACATTGTTATGCAATGCATGACTATATTTAGCCTGAAGAAGAGAAGACATGCCTTGTTACCCACACTCAGCTATATGCATCAGACTCTCTGTTCTGTGCATTTGTTCACGTCTGGCCCTATTGCATTTCCCTCTCTCCCATGGACAATTCTTGTTCATTCTTTAAGTTTCAGGCAAAGTGGCAGCTCCTCCAGGAAGGCTTCTATGGCCTCAGAGTGGGATATACCCCTCTCAGATGTTCTTCCATAACACTCCATGTATCTCTATTACTGCCCTATCTGTGTTGTTTTATGTATTTACATGTCTGACTTCTCTATCAGAATGTGAGTTACTTAAGAGGAGGGATTGTCTCTGCTTGACGTTGGTGTATCCACTATTTATATCACAGGTCTGGCACACAGCACTACATAAATGTTTTATGCATCAGTATTTAGAGTGGAAATATTGAAGAGGATTAGGTTTATCTTATGTGGTCCTAGTGGTGGTAAAGACAAAGAGACATCTTGCTTAACATAGGGAAGAATTTTCTGAGGGAATAGATGATCAGGGCTGCCTTGAG